TCAACGCCCAGAATCCTCCAGCCAGAAATCTTGGCCGCTTTAAGACTGGCGGACTTCAATGCCCAGAATCTTCCAGCCAGCAAACGTGGCCGCTTTAAGACTGGCGGACTTCAACTCCCAGAATCCTCCAGCCAGCAAACTTGGGCCGCTTTAAGACCAGCGGACTTCAACGCCCAGAATCCTCCAGCCAGCAACCAGGGCCGCTTTAAGACGGGCGGACTTCAACTCCCAGAATCCTCCAGCCAGCAAACATGGCCGCTTTAAGACTGGCGGACTTCAACTCCCAGAATCTTCCAGCCAGCAAACAGGAGGATTCTGGGAGTTGAAGTCCACCAGTCTCAAAGCGGCCAGGTTTGGAGACCTCTGCTCCAGGGGCTGCCTGCAGGGAGTGGGCCTTAGAGAGCCAGGCTGGGCGGCCCTGCACCTCCCTCGGGCCCCCTCCTTTCTCCCCCTGACCCACCTCGCAGGGCTGTTGGGAAGCTAAGACTGGACCACTTCTGTGGTGGGGGGGGGGAGAAGAGTCATCCTTCTGGCTTTTGAAGCTGCTCCCCTTTCCCCCCCCTTCTTCCCCAAGGCTCCAGGCAGTGACCGGCTCCAATGCTCGCAGCCCCCCAAAGACGGAGGACCTGCAGCGGTGAGTCTGCCTCTCCTCCCTCCCTCCCTCCCCACTGCCCCTCCCCTCCTTTGCTAGTGACCTGGGAGCTTCTCCTTCCTTGGTGAATGATGGGCTGCATCCTGCCATGCTCAGAGACCCCTCAGCCACATCTATGCAGCCCTCCCCCCCCTCTGCAGCTGGCCAGCCTTGGGGTTGCTGGTCTCCACCTTGGGTGGGGCACATGGCCTGAGCGGGGGGGGGCGGGGGGGGGGGGGGGGGGGGCAGCCAGCCTGCCCCCTCTTTCCTTGTAGCTGCTCAAATTTAGCAGGATCCAGTGGGCCTTCAAACTGGTGTGGACCAAGGCAGCAGAGGGCTGTTTGTCGGAGGGCTCTGCAGAACCTCCAGCACCAGCAGCAGTCGGTCTCCAAATACCAGGGCCCAGCGAGGTCATCCCTCGTGAGGGGGAGGAGCTTCTGGGCTGGGAGAGTTTGCACCATTGCTCCTGGCTGGGGCAGATGGGAGAGAGAGGGGGGGGGGTTTCCAGCCCAGTTGGTGCCGTTCAAATATTTTTACCCCCCCGTTTGGTGGGCGCGGCACCGGCGCAGAGGCCTTTCCACGCCCCTGCTGCACGCCCGTACCCTCCCTGTTGCTTCAGCAGCTGCCTGGCGCGGCAATCGGCTGGACCGCGCAAAGCAGCTGCGCTCCAAAAGCAGGGAATCAAGGTGAGTATAAAAGCCCAGGTGCGCCCAACAGCAGAGAACCGGTTCGATATCTGCTGCTCGTTGGCGCTACCGGCTCGGCAGAACCAGGCCAAACCGGTCGAATAGCACCCCGCATGGTCCAGCCCTGATGCCGTCTCCGTCTTCTTCCCCCCACCCCGCCCTGCAGAGCCCTGGCCTCGCTCCTCTGCTCCTGGCTGGACGGCTACCCCCAGGACTTCCTGGGGCTGGAGCCCCACCTGCGGGAACAGCTGGTCAGCTGGCTGCACTGGGCCTGCGGAAGCAGCCCGGGGCCCGAGAAGAGCCTGCCGGACGCCCCCAGCAGCCGAGGCCCGCCGGCGGTTGAACACGGACGAGAGGAGAGCTCCGGCCAAGACGTGGACCCCGATCCCCACTACATCCTGGGGCTGCAGGCGGAGGAGGTGGCCGCCCACCTCACGGCGCAGGACGGGGTGAGTGCGGAGGGCCGGGACCTGCCCCCTCCCCTCCCAACTGTGGCGTCTTCTCTCCCTGCTCCCCCGGCCACGGAGTTGGGGGGGGATGGTTTTGGGGAGCTTCCTGCCAAATGGGAAATGCCTTATATGGGGTTTGCACCCGGCTGAGCTGCCCCCTTTTATTTTTTCCTCCATGGAATAAATACCAGAAAGTGATATATTTTTTCCTGCAGTGCACCAACATTTTCCTGCAGTGTGCCACCTGGAGGTTGTGCACCGCCATTGCAGGCTTCTCAGAGGCTGCCTTTCGGCTTGGCGGTTTTTTTTATTTTATTTATTTAGTTTTGCCAATTGCTTGCAAGATAATAGGTATAAGTAAAAAACATAGTTATGAATGCATGGATACATATAAGAAAAATAAAAGAAACAATAGGACAGGGACGGCAGGCACGTTGGTGCGCTTATGCACGCCCCCTCCCGACCTCTTAGGAAGGGGGTGAGGTCAATGGTAGACAGTCTAAGGTTAAAGTTTTTGGGGTTTGGGGAAGGAACCACAGAGTCAGGTAGAGGATTCCAGACATTGACCACTCTATTGCTGAAGTCATATTTCCTGCAATCAAGTTTGGTGCGGTTAACCTTGAGTTTGTATCTATTGTGTGCTCTTGTGTTGTTATGGTTGAAGCTGAAGTATTCATTGACAGGCAGGACATTGCAATGTATGATTTTATATACTATAGTTAGATCGGACTGAAGGCGGTGTAGTTCTAGGTTTTCTAGGTCTAGAATTTCGAGTCTGGTGGCATAAGGTCTTCTACAATGAGTAGAACGGTGGAAAACTCTTCTTGTGAAATATTTCTGGACTTTCTCAACTGTGCTAATATCAGATACGTAATGTGGGTTCCAGACTGATGAACTGTATTCGAGTATTGGTCTAGCAAATGTTTTGTATGCTCTGGTTAGTAGTGTGATATTACCAGAGAAAAAGCTACGTAGGATTAGGTTAACAACTCTTAATGCCTTTTTGGCTGTGTAGTTACAGTGGGCTCTAGCACTTAGGTCATTAGAGGTGAGTCCTCCAAGGTCCTTGACAGAGGTTGAATGATGTGTTTCAGTCAGCTGCACCCAGGTAGCACCAACATGTTTGCTCCTAATAAATCTTCTCTAAGCTCTGAAAATCCGGCTACAGACTCATGGGGGGTCACTACCGGAGCCCTGACACACGCCACGCCCACAGAACTGGTTCTAAAAATGTTTGAATCCCACCGCTGGGCGCGTCAGGGTTGTGTTTGACCTCACGGGGGGGGGGGCCGGGGAGGTATGGCAAAGGTGGGCACGTGGCCAGGTTGACGTCACTCATATGGCAGCCAATGAAAACAGGCTCTTGTGCTCTGTTTTTGCCAGCAGAGGCACCACAGGCCAGTCCTTCACTGTTTCCAGGGCATCCCCCACGGGCCAGATCTAAGCATCTCCTGGGCCGGTTCTGGCCCGCGGGCCTTGAGTTTGACCCCCCACCTGCCCTCCTCATATTTCAGCTGTGTGTGTTATGCTTCGCCGGCAGCAGGTGCGGATGGCTGAGGTCTCGGAGAACGAGGACTCAGAGGAGGGATCTGTATGTGAGGCAGGGATGGGGCCAGGACTACCAGGGAGTGGAGTGCTGCCTTCCAAGATTGTGGAGGCCGGCAGCAATGAGGAAGAGGCCCCCGAGGAGCCTGTGCCCAGTGCACGTGTGCGCAGGTCTGCTCGAAGGAAAGAGCAGCTGCAGCAGCTCGGGCGACTCGGGAGCAAGGCTGCAAGGTGATGGCCCCTCCCTTCAGAGACAAAAGCCAGCCGAGAAACCGGAGTTCTTTGCAGGAAGCAAAGAAGTGTTTACACTTCAAGTCTTGTGGACGTTCGGACTATCTTGGTTTCTGTTTGGAGACTTTTGGCTTTGAATATTTCCTTGCAATTTCATCTTTTTTTAAAAAAAAAGTTTTTTATTTTGTAACAAAGGACAAAGCCAAACAAGTAAAACCATCATTCCTTTCAACGGTGTGTCGGTTGGGTACATATCTCTTGTGCTCATAATCATAATATCATACATTTCTTACTTGCTTATATTTATAATTGTTCTAATCAATATTTTATATCACACTTATCAATTGTTACATTATCATTAACGTTATAAGCATTGTCTTCCAAGAATATATTTGATCTTTATTTAGATTATATTCATTTTCTTACTCAATCTAATTTAATCAATTATAATATATTATACTATTATTGCATATTTCAATCTTGCAATTTAATCTAGTGATCTTGGCAGCCTTGCCAAGGTTGTGCAAGGCTCGTTCTTATCAGGGACGATTAGTTTTAATAGCCTTTTAACTGTGAATGAACGGAATTCACAGAGAGACATTAAAAAGAGTTTGCTTTTATCTCTGTTTTGAGTTTGTTTGATTGGCTTGGGTCAGAACAAGTGTGGTTGCAGTGGGGAGAGACACTTCCGGTCTCCGGTGACTCCTCTCTCTCCGTTTCTTCCCCCCCCCCACCCCCCAGGACCTCTTCCTGCGCCTAGTGCCCCACGAGTGCCTCGGCTCTGCCTGGTCCCAGCGTGACAAGAAAGGCCACGAGGGCGACTGCCCCACCGTCCGGGCCACCGTGGCCCAGTTTAACCTCGTGGCCAACGCCGTCATCTTTTCCTGCCTGCGGGACACGGGGCTGCGTGCCGCCCAGCGGGCCCGGCTTCTGGAGAAGTGGATCTGCGTGGCTGAGGTGGGTCCCCATTCAGCCCTCCCCGGAAACGGCCTCCTGGTCAGGAAACACCTCACGACCTCTTCTCTCTCTCTCTCTCTCTCTGTGCTCCCCCTCTCAGGAGTGTCTCCTCCACCGCAACTTCTCCTCGCTCTACGCCGTGGTCTCCGCCCTGCAGTCCACGTCTTTGCACCGGCTGAAGCGGACCTGGGAGGAGACTTCCAGGTGGGTGAGGAGGGGGCTGGGAAGGAGCCTCCAGCTGCTCCTCCTCCTCGCTCCCCTGCCCCCATGCCGAATGCCCGATCTGTGGGGCAGGAGGAAAACGGGCCCTGCCCCCCTTGTCAGGCCATTGAAAGCCCCCCCCCCCCCCGGGCAAGATGGAGATGAGGGGCAAAGAAGGAGACCCCTGGTAGAAAGGGGGTGCTGCTTGTTGGCTATCAGACCCCCCCCCTTAAAGCAGGGGTCTCCAATCCTGGCCACTTTAAACTTGGCGGACTTCAACTCCCAGAATTCCAGGCTGGAGAATTCTGGGAGTTGGCTTTGCTGGCTGGGGAATTCTGGGAGTTGAAGTCCGCCAGGCTTAAAGTGGCCAAGGTTGGAGACCCCTGTTTTAAAAGAGTGCTACAATACAGGTCGTCCTTGACTTACAACCGTTCGCTTAGGAACTACGAAGTTACGACGGCCCTGAAAAAAAGTGACTTAAGAATTGCTTTCCACGCTTATGACCACGGTAGTGTCTCCAGGGCCACGTGATCGAAATTCAGCAGCCGGGCAAAATGGACACGTGTTTGTGACAGTGGCCACATCCTCTGTGTGTGTGTGTGTGTGTGTGTGTGTGTGTGTGTGTGTGTGTGTGAGAGAGAGAGAGAGAGAGAGAGAGAGAGAGAGAAAACATCACAGCCAGCCCTCTGAGGTTAGGTCTCCCTCTCCCTGAGAACGGAGCTGAAAAACAGGTTAGGAATGTGGCTGCCTTGGAGGGTGTGTGGGTGTGTGAGGGACGTGTGTGGGTGTGTGTGGGTGTGAGAGAGAGGGAGAGAACATCACAGCCAGCCCTCCCAGGTTAGATCTCTCTCTCCCTGAGAACGGAGCTGAAAAACAGGTTAGGAATGTGGCTGCCTAGGAGGGTGTGTGGGTGTGTGAGGGACGTGTGTGTGTGTGTGTGTGTGTGTGAGAGAGAGAGAGAGAGAGGGAGGGAGGGAGACTTGATAACCTGATCACCATTTGGGATCTTCCTAGCTGGCTTCCCGACGAGCAGAGCCAATGGGGGGGGGGGGGGGGC